CATATACATACAACAGAGATATATATGTGTGTGTGTGTGTGTATATATAGAGAGAGAGAGAGAGAGAGTATATCAAAGCCAGTGAATCATCCAGCTGCACCTTGGCTCCTCTCAGTTGTCTAGCACGTGTGAAGCATTAGAGATGTTTTAGTTTGTTATTGTTACTAACTAACTTTCCCTACTTTTCTAGTTTCAAGCCTTTTTCATTTCCGGATTTTATTTATATGTTTGAACTCTTTCTACATTAATTAATTTTGGTTGAATAAAGATTCCTTCAATATCCATCTTTTCTGTAATATGGTATCAGAGCTTGTCTGCTTCCAGCTTCGCAATTGATCTTCAATTGATTTCTTTTCAACTGGTTAATCATGGCCAACGATCATATTCAAATTTCTACTTCTTCAATGAGCAATTCCGCAGTTGAAGACGGATCCAATCCTTACTTCCTCCACCATTCTGACAATCCTGTTCTCGTCTTGGTTTCACAGCAATTGACTGGTGAAAACTATACATCTTGGGCTCGTGCTATGTTTATAGCCTTATCAGTGAAGAATAAGGTATGGTTCATAGATGGATCCATTACCAGACCTGAAGGTGGTACCGAACTTCTCAATTCATGGATCCGAAATAAGGAAATTTCAGCTAGTATAATCTACTTTGAATCGGCTCTTGAAATCTGGACTGATCTTAAAGAACGATTTCAGCAGAAAAATGGCCCTCGGATCTTTCAACTGAGGCGTGAGTTAATGAATCATACGCATGGCCAAATGTCAGTTAGTGTCTACTTCACTAAACTGAAAACGGTTTGGGAAGAACTAAGCAATTATAGGCCTTCGTGTGGGAAATGCATTTGTGAAGGAAACAAAAAATTAATGGATCACTACCACATGGAGTATGTTATGTCCTTCTTAATGGGGCTGAATGAGTCTTATTCTCAAGTCAGGGGTCACATATTGCTGATGGATCCTATTCCTCCAATTAATAAAGTTTTCTCTCTTATCACTCAAGAGGAACAACAGAGAGGGATAAATTCTACTGCTAGAGAGTCAAGGGTCAGATATTGCTGATGGATCCTATTCCCCCAATTAATAAAGTTTTCTCTCTTATCACTCAAGAGGAACAACAGAGAGGGATAAATTCTACTGCTGGAGCCACTGTTTCCTTGGCTTTCTATGCCTATGCCAAAAATGATGAAAGAAAGTCAATTCTAAGGCAGTCTTACAATATAATTCAGAAGAGAGATAGGCCGATTTGTATCTACTGTGGGTATGGAGGTCATCTCGTTGATAAATATTACAAACTCCATGGTTATCCACCTGGATACAAAGCAAAGCAGAGGACTAGTTCTGGTAACCAAACTGATTTTAAATCAAATGATGTGGCTAATCAGGTTTCTGATTCAATATCAAGACACTCTGCTGGTAATGTTGGCAATTTTGTACAAACTCTGAATCCTGATCGGTACAAACATTTGATGAATGTGTGGAGCACACATCTTGCGGCTTCAAAGGTAGGAGATGAAAGTTTAGATCCAGGTCATGTATCAGGTACTTGTTTATCTGTTTTGAATAATAAGCTATTCAATTCTACTGGATTTTGGGTTATGGATTCCGGTGCAACCAGTCATGTTTGTTGCCATCGTGCTTCATTCAAAACACTGAGAGTAATAAGAGATGCCTATATCACATTACCAAATCGTATCAGGATACCAGTACATTTCACTGGGACTGTGGAACTTAATCCTGAATTAACTCTTCAAAATGTGTTATTTCTTCCCCAATTCAAATTCAACCTCCTGTCAATTAGCTCCTTGACCAAGGATTCAAATATAAGTGTCAGGTTATTCACTGACTATTGTGCCATTCAGGATCAGTGCAGTTGGAAGATGATTGGCAGGGCTGATGCTGTTAATGGACTCTACATCATTAAAGTAGGATTTGATGTAATGAAAGTTAATTGTAATTCGTTTGGTGATATTAATACTCATATATGTTCTGTAATAAATAAGGTGACCTCTCATGTTTGGCACCATAGATTGGGACATTTATCTTTTAAAGTGTTGGAAACTTTGAAGGATTAATTACAGTTCAAAAGTGAGAAAAGTGATCTTAATCCTTGATATATTTGTCCATTGGCTAAACAAAGGCGTTTATGTTTTACTTCAAATAATCATCCGTCTGCAAACAGTTTTGACCTCATCCATTGTGATGTTTGGGGTCCATATAACTCTCCAACTCGTGAAGGATATAAGTATTTTCTCACGTTAGTGGATGACTGTACAAGGTTTACCTGGTTTACTTGCTAAAACATAAGTCTGATGTGCATAAAATCATTCCCAGGTTTTTCATCCTTGTTGAAACACAATTCCATAAAACCATTAAAGCTTTTAGGTCTGCAAATGCACCTGAGTTGAGGTTTACAAAATTCTTTAATCAGAAAGGGGTGTTACATCAATTTTCTTGCACTGAATGTCCTGAGCAGAATTCTGTCATCAAAAGGAAGCATCAGCATTTGTTAAATGTAGCAAGGGCATTATATTTTCAGTTTCAAATTCCAATTTCATTCTGGGGTAATTGTGTTCTGACTATCACTTACCTGATCAACCGAACTCCTTCATCCATACTTCATAACAAAACTCCTTTCTCCATGTTATACCAGTCATCAGTTGATTACAATTTTCTCAAAGTATTTGGCTACTTGTGTTTTGCTTCCACCATCACTTCTCACCGTTTAAAATTCTATCCTAGAGTAAAGGCATTCAGTTTTATTGGCTACCATCTTGGCATAAAAGGGTATCGATTATATGACATTCTTTCCAAACAAATTCTCATTTCTAAAGATGTGATTTTCCATGAACACATCTTTCCCTTTCACTCTATCTCAAAGAATCCTGAAGTCATTAATTCGCTCCCTGACCTTGTTTTACCCAATCCTATTACTCTCATACCCTCTAATAAACATCAAGATGCTTCCAATTCACGTCATATTCCATTTCATGACATATCTAGCAATGATGATATGCCTTCACCCAGTGTTGACTCTATTGCTATTCCTGCATCGAACCATAATCCTCCTATCAGTTCACATAATTCTGTTGATCCTACTGATCATTCTTCTCCTGTTCCCACAACTCAAGTTCTTAGGTGATCCCTGAGAACTAGCAGAACTCCTTCATACCTACAAGAATTTCATTGTAATCTCTTGACTAATTCTTCATCTTCCACCATTTCATCGCCTCATCATTATCCCTTAAGCCACTATCTTTCCTATTCTAAGCTTTCTCCGTCACATAAAGCTTTTACCTTAAACATATCCTCCAACATTGATCCATAATTTTATCATCAAGCTATGAAAGAAGCTCATTGGAGAGATGCTATGGCGGCTGAATTGAGTGCTAAGGAACTAAACAAAACCTGGTCAATTACTCCTTTACCTAAAGGGAAACATTCTATAGGTTGCAAGTGTGTTTTTAAGACCAAATACAAATTGGATGGAAGTGTTGATCGCCACAAGGCACGCCTTGTTGTGAAAGGTTTTTCTCAACAAGAGGGATTGAATTTCTTGGAGACTTTTTCTCCAGTGGCGAAAATGGTAATTGTAAAGCTGTTGTTGGCCTTAGCAGAAATAAATAAGTGGCACATCGTTCAGTTGGATGTAAATAACGCGTTCCTTCATGGGGATCTATTTGAGGAAATTTACATGGACTTGCCCTTAGGCTACAACCTTTCCAATTCTTCTGGCAGACAGGGAGAGCATTTAGTTTGCAGGCTACATAAATCAATTTATGGCTTGAAGCGAGCTTCAAGACAGTGGTTTTCGAAGTTTTCTTATGCTTTGATTCTACATGGATTCATTCAATCAAAGTCAGATTATTCTCTCTTTACTAGAGGTTCTGGAGATCAGTTTGTTGCTCTACTAGTGTATGTCGATGACATTGTTATTACAAGATCAAATTCTTGTATTATTGATGATTTAAAAACATTCCTTCACAGCCATTTCAAATTGAAAGACCATGGTAAACTCAAATTCTTCCTTGGGTTGGAAATTGCGAGATCACAGACTGGGATTATTCTATCCTAGAAGCATTATGCTCTCCAGTTACTCGAGGATACTTGGTTTCTTGGATGCAAACCTGCTTTGGTGCCCATGGATCCCAAAGTTCGTCTTAACTCCTTTGAGGTGGAGCTGTTAGAAGATAGTTCCATGTATAGAAGGCTGATTGGGCTACTACTTTACCTAATAGTTTCTAGGCCAGACATTACCTTTACAGTTTATAAGCTAAGTCAATTTGTTTCACAACCTCGAAAACCTCATTTAAATGTTGTTCATCATTTACTACAATACATTAAAGCCACTCCAGGCCAGGGACTTTTTTTTCTGCTAGTTCATCTTTACAACTGCGAGCATATGCTGATTGGGGCTCATGCCTAGACTCAAGAAAGTCAGTCACCGGTTTCTATGTTTTCATTGGAGATTGAATGGTATCCCGGAAGGTGAAGAAATATAATACCATATCCAGATCTTCGACAGAAGCTGAGTATCGTGCCTTGGGCTCGACTACCAGTGAATTGATATGGATACAACAATTACTCTGTGACTTTCATGTGGATGTTCAAAAGCCCGCCTTAATATTTTGTGACAACCAAGCAGCCGTTCACATTGCAACCAATCCAATCTTCCACGAACGTACCAAACACATAGAGATAGACTGTCACTTTGTAAGAGACAAAATCAATGATGGAGCTATCAAGCTGTTGCCGGTCCAAACAAATCATCAACTTGCAGATATTTTTACAAAGCCGTTGCTGATCACTGCCTTAAATCATTTTACTGCCCAAGATGGCTATTACTAACATCCATAGTTCATCTTAAGGGGGAGTATCAAAGCCAGTGAATCATCCAGCTGGACCTTGGCTCCTCTCAGTTGTCTAGCACGTGTAAAGCATTAGAGATGTTTTAGTTTGTTATTGTTACTAACTAACTTTCCCTCATTTTCTAGTTTCCCGCCTTTTTCATTTCCGGATTTTATTTATATGTTTGAACTCCTTCTACATTAATTAATTTTGGTTGAATAAAGATTCCTTCAATATCCATCTTCTCTGTAATAATATATACACTTGAAAATACTAAAAACAATTTATAGACGATCAGTTATTTAAATCGATTTTCATGTAATTAAATAATATTCTAATCTTGTTATTTACAATTTCTTTGCTTGTTTTGAAGACTTTTTGGCTTCACCATTGAGAGATTCGATAAAGGACTCCACCTTGTCTTCTGCTTCATGAACCTGCATTTACAATTTAGGTATTAATTAGCACACTTTGTGCAAATTAAGTCCATATTTGGTACCAATTAAAATCTAGATTTTAATTTAAATTAAAGTCAACAATTAGAGGGTGTTTTGTGGAGATTAAAATTAGATTTTTAGTGGATTGTGATAGAAATTTATGAATTGTGTGGTTGAAAATATGTGGGACCCATGAAAGATATGGTTAATATTGATTGTTTGACTTTGATTTGGATTAAAATCAGATTTTAATCCTGATTTTAATCCGGCCCAAACATGCCTTAATTTTTCAACCATGCAATTCATCAATTTCTATTAAAATCTACTAAAAATCTAATTTTAATCTACACCAAATTGGTCTAACTTTTTTATCTTTCTCTAAATACAAAATTAAGTATGTAATCACTTCCCTTTTTCAAAGTTGAAATAATAATAATAATAATAATAATAATAAATGGAAATACATAGCAATTATTCATATAAGCGATGATGGATTTTTGGGATTATATGTGATGATTCTTCCTTAGTTGACATGAAGTTGATTTGACTAGTTAACTACCTGGAAAAGATAATCCTAGTGCATTCAAACTAATTATCTCTTTAATTTGCCTACCTATGTATGACCGCCAACTTAATTACAAGAGTTTTACTACAAAAACATAATGGATGACATAAAGGATGGCCAAACACACACACATGGGATGTCGGCATTTTTTTATTCAGGTCGGGACCCACGTGCAAATGTGAGGGTGGTGTCAACCCCTATGTCAAATTGTTGGGCACTTCAGCAAAATCCTAATTACAATATGTCAAAAGGACAAAAATTAAGAAACAATAGTAAAAACTTTCTTGGCTGGTCAAACTTGGTCTTTTAATGGTATTAGGTTAACTATATGATCAAGAATTAATGTTAACTAATTAAGTGAATGACTCAGCCAGATTACAACTTGACAAAAAGCACAGAGCAAGCAAGAAAATTATTATAAATACCTTATCAATAAAATGTTCAACTGAATCAGCACTTTTAGCTGTTTTCTCAGCCACATCTTCAACAATATCCACAATGTTTTTGAGTTTTCCTTCCGGCAGATCGTCTGCGATATCCTCCGCTATTTTGTCAACTTCCTCCGCCACCTTTTCGACAACTTCCACTATTTGTTCTACCGTTTCTATCCCCGATTCCATTCTATCTGCATATTAAAAAATGATACGTTTTAACTCAATTGCAATTTAATTATTGACTTTATATTTAGAAGCGTCAAAATATGTTGGGTTGTCCACCCTCTAGTGACTTGGCACGTGAAAAGCACATCCTAGACTAGCTCGTGATACGTCCTGGGTGACTAATACGTAACTGAAAAAATAAAAAGACTCTCGAAGGCTGTTAGGCCTAGCACTCAAATAATTCTAGACGTGCCGAGCTCCTGAAAAGGAGGTGTTCCAACCGCACCTTCTAGTACGGCTAACAAGGCTAATAGAATAGCCGGACAGAGCATGTTCTTCTTCTCTTACAATGGATGGTAGTCAGAGGTACTTAAAATCACCGGTCACTTCAAAACCGGTCGACAAGATCTGCTATATATAACTCCATAACTCCATAACTTGCAACTTGAAAACTTAAAATTTCATTTTTACACACAGAATATACATAATTCTTACTTTTAAGTAACCATAATGGACCCCATTTGTGGGTGACAAAGGGTAGGACTAATGATGCAAGAAGTCCCAGAATCCAACTCCTGCTGTACGAATTTTAGGAAAAAAAAAATCCAATTGCAGTGTTAGATGAGAAAAAATAAAAAAATCAATCTTTTGACCTACTAGTTTAAAAATTTAACTTACGGGGAACTAGAAGGTTGTTCGGAAGGCAACGGATCTCCAGGCTCGCTGCTAGGATGGACCACAAATTTCCTAAATAAAATTAAAAATTAAATGATATTTCGTATAAAAATATGAAGTAGTTGCATGTATTTTGGTGACGAGTCGATCTCATTAATGCTTGTTCTATGATGAACGTGAAAATATAATCGAGCATGGAAATCACGGGAAACCTGAAATTGCCTTACCTTTTGTTGTTATTGCATGCAAAAAGCGTTTGATCTTTGGGAACTTGAATGTCCAACTTTGTAATAGAATTCCAAGATATAGTTTGTGACATCCTAGGCTTGATATGGAGGCCATTCCAATTGGACCCAACAATAGAGCTTGCCATTGTCAATAATGTTGCTTAAGCTCTAATTATGTCAATGAATTTGGATTTCTTGATATTTAACAACTAAGGGACCATACAAAGTTAATATATAGGAAGATCAGTTGGATCAAGTGGTTATCTTATATTATCCACTTGGGAATATTCAAATGATGTTACATAATACGTTATGTACTAGGCATCATGGTCGTACTAAACAATGAAACTGAAGAGTGCAGTTGAAATAATCAAATGTGTCAACTTGGTTTTCTTTTATTGCTTTCTTGATTGACTTCCATGAATGGTTTTTCGTGGAAACCTATCCTTAGGAGTAGTTATTTGCTCAATGGTTTTGTATATCTTTTAATCATTTTAGTATTATTTCACTTTGACGATCAAAATGAGGAATCGGTATCCATAATTCATAGCTTGTTTCTTAGATTGTTTTAGATCGATCAGTTCTATGACTGTTTTTCGATTTTCTTACCATTTTATGAAAGAGTAATGCTATTTATACATCATTAAATGTATATTCCTTTACAGATTGGTGACATGGAAGATAAAAAAAAAGTAAAATAAGAAAAGAAAGTCAGTTAATTTAATCTACAAATCAACTTGTACACGATAATGTACAAGTAGCATTACTCTTTATACTATTCCTTCATTTCAATCCTTAAACTAGAATCCCCCTAAGTAAAGTTCATTCTACCGTCTTGTTTAAATGTTGTCCGAGTTGACTTTTATAAAACGAGAGATTAGCAACAACATAAAGACTAGTTGGGCGATTTTTGTGTCACCCTAGGAAAAGTCGACATATATCTCTATTTGCTGATGCCCAGAGGGCTATTACACGTGAGATACAAAACTATGACTTTTCTAATTTTTCGTGAATTTCCAATACAAATTTATCTCAGAAAAATAAAGTGGTCTTACAACAGGAAAGAAAAAGGAAATTAAGCTTGTAAGCTTTTCAGGTTCTTCATTGCTTCCTATAATTCCCCTCATTTCATCCCTGAAATTTTTTTAACACAAAAAGATTGTCAATAATTAGTAGAACAAATTTTCTAGGATCGAATCAAGTGAATGGAGAGATTAATAACCTTTTGCCAAGTAATTCATCACATTTTGAGGCAGAGTACTCATCAGATCTATTATACCATCTGTTCTTGTGACTTTCAGATTCTTAATGTTGGGAAATGGAGATGGACTTTGTTCGAGAAGACGAGAATCCATTGCAAGAACCTTAAAAACAGAAAGCAATTAAGATCTTCCCCACCACATTCGGTTTGTTCGAATCGGAGTGGACAACATTAAAGAAGAAGCAAAACCAGAAGATGACAGAAAAAATATTTTCGAAAAATCCTAGGAGTACCTCGATTGTGGGCAAGGTCAAGATGACTGACTTTGCATTTCCTAATTGTTGTAGCATTCTGATCAAATTCTGGGGCATCTTTTGCTGCACAAAATCTGTGTATGGTGATTCTAAAATTGGGTCTAGATCAAAATATATTTCCTTGAGACAAGGTAGTTCTCCCATTGGACATACCAATGAAACTTGTCCCTCGAACCTAAATGAATTTAACCTGGAAGTTGAAATCTTTTCCATTTCGACTTCCGACGAAAATTTTGGCATATAACCATGGAAAGATAATTCCAAGATCCTAAGTTTGGGAGCAGAAATTATCAATCCTGAAACTTCACATCGACGCAAGATCAACTCCTCCAAATTGGGAAAACTCGAAAAGGGCTCTTTTGGAAAACTAAATGGATCATCATCCCGAAAAGGGAAGCGATCAAGATGTAAAATCTTCAGTGTTGGTAACGAGAATGACTTGGGTATAACCATACCATCAAAATAATGATTAAGCTTGAGAACTCGTAGCGATTTACAAGCGAAAAGGGCTCGAGGTAGTTTCAATGGCGTGGGGCTATGATACGCGTCTATATCGAGCTCTTCAACATCGTGGTCAATGGCATATTCAACCCACTTTTCAGCGAAGCTAGCAGTGATAGCTGTAAAATTACTCGAAGATAATCGAAAGCTGGAAATAGATGAACTGATATCACGACACGAAATAACTTGATTGACGAAATTCATGAATCGAGGCATGTGTTCATCATGATGATGCGACCAACATAACTCAACACCACTATGGATTGCATGGCGACGAAAATCAAAGTCTAGAATAGGAAGGGTAGACCAAAGATGCCTCCATCTTTTAGAGAGAATAGAGGTTTGAACAGCTTCTTTGAGGTCTATTAATACAAGGATCTGGTGAAGTAAAACATCAGGTAATATGCTGATTCTATCTCCTTGGATTGCCATTTTTCTTGCTCATCAAAACGCACATTTGAGAACGAAATAAATCAGATGGTTCTATTTCTCAAACTTTTTGACTTGCTCCTATGTAAATTCAAGGATCTCCTTTTCTGATAAAGTCTTGATCTTGAATTAGAATATTTCTTTTGTATTTGGCTTGCTTGATTTGTTCAAAGACAAGTAGACAACTTTCACGTGTTGACCTGTGGTGTCTTCTTGTAAGAATGAGAAATATTTTGGTGCAAATGAGAACATGTTGGCTGTAATGCACCTGCTTGTTAAATGAGATGTAGCTTCTATATATGCAAAGATGTAGCTTTTAATTAAGGTCCCTGTATCTACTCATTATCTTGAGAACAATAAATGGAACTTGGTTGCCCAAATTTCATTGGGGTCGGAATCCAATTTTTCACTCTCTTTATTGGAAGGAAAGTAGAAGTGTAATAGTGATTTCACGATGGAAATATAGGCTTATCAACGATTCTACAAAAGGATGGATTTATTTGTTAAGATTCACGTGGAGTGGATTTGTTCGTTAGAATTAAGAATATAAAAAATATAAGGTACTAATTTCTAAAACTATTCATAAAAGAAGGGTGTGCCTTGCAATAAAGAAATATATCTTATTAAGGGTAAAATAGACATTTTCATGAAGAAGTTAAAAGGCTTGATCAACTAGATCAATTAGAATAATGCGCCGTTGTGACATGTCTCCAATAACAAATTTGGGACCAAAATGTAGCCAGCAATAACAAAAAATTAGATTGTCCTTTTTACAAATCAAAGGACAAGATTCTATTTACATCTTGTTTGAGCCCCAATTTTTTTTTTTGAAAAAATACATTTTGTAATAGTATTATGATGGATGATGTGTGATTAAAAAATAAAGAAAATTTTTAAATTTACGTGTAATATTATTTTATTGAAAAATGTGTAGTTGAAATATGATTAAATCACTGTTCAAGAATACATTTTGATGAAAAATTGGGGCTCAAACAAGTATTTTTTTTATAACCGTGAATGTTCTGGTCAGCTTGCGCGCACCTCGACTAATTTCATGAGACCCTGAAATTTATGGTGTGGTACTCACCTCAATGGCCCTGACGGGACTCGAATTGATGACCATTGAAAAGCAAACTCAAGACTTGACCAATTGATCAACCCCTCAAGGTTGGGCTCAAACAAGTATGTTAGAATCAATTAAACTATTGTCAATTATTTTATTTTATTTTTTGTATTATTTCTTAAGTCAAAATCTAATAATACTGTTTAGAGTAATGGCTTACCTCCTTATCTAAAGTTCTCTCTTGAAAGTTTTAGTTGCAAAGAAAAGAAAGAGGTCAATGTCCCAAGAGAGAAGTAGAGTCGGGTGTCGCTAAGTAAACCATGGTTTAAAATCAAATCGATCCATAAAAATGGTTTGGCTTGAAAAGTGAAATGGTTATGTTTCATTTGAAAACTTTTGAAACTGTTCTGAATAATTTGATTCGAAAAGATCCCAAAAAGGGTCCATATCGAAACGTGTTCTTTCATAACAGTATGCAGGGGAATGCTTGTGGTAATCCAATAAGCATTCTTTCAAAAAATGTATACGATAACATAACTAGTTAAAACAAACATCATCTGCTACTCTAAAAGGAATTTCCTTTGTAATTTGAATATGAAATTTTAACTGATTTCTTAGTCTTGCAAAGATTCATTGCCCATCTTTCCATGTCCTCCCTCACTTCCCAAATCTTGCTTTCTCTTTCCCAATCCCATATCTCCTTCACAGTCGGGCTCGAACCTGATTCCAAATTCATTGTTCCAGATTGCTGCATGAAAATTTACGAAAAGAAGAATTATATATCAATGTATCGACTACTTCATATGTGATCTAAGTATTGACGACAATCTTATCCATTGTTTTTTTCTCTAGAGTTACGATCCTAAAAATTTACTCCAGCACTAGTTTTATTTAATTTAAACCACAAGTTTAATTTATAAGCGTCAAACAGTTAAATGTCAAATTCTCATCTTTTATCCGAGGATTATTGTCATATTTTTTGTTTTCTTTCATACCAAGAGGAAAAGAACATCCAGTAAGGCATTACCACTGCAACGTTTTTCGTAGAAAGTCATTCATACTTTAGCGTTAGTAATGAAACAATATTCACTATCAAGATAAGATCAAGGATCAAATAAGTGATGCCCATTTACCTTTTTGAAGGACGATAGTGAGAACGACGATTTTTCTGCATAATCTGGTTCGCCAGATATGTTGACTGACTGATTCACAACCAAAAGTGCAGTCTCGATATCAATTAAGTCAACATTGACCATCCTTTTTAATACTCTAGCTTGGAAGGTCTTTCCTCTGAAACAAGAGATTTGAAATAGTGATGTGAATCTTGTTTATTATGAGGATGATGACGATTGCAACATATGCAAAGATGAAAGAAACATGTACCTTCTACAATCTCTGAATGGTGACCGGAGTTCAGGTGCAGGTATCATGCCTACAAGCAATGCACACTCACCCAAACTAAGAAGGGACGGATGTTTCCTGAAGTAGAAGTTTGATGCTGATTCAATTCCATAAATACCATGTCCCCAGTATATCTGTAATATTCCATAATCTCTGTGACATCCAATAAAATGTAAGACGTTCATGGCATGTTTGATCCATAGTATTGGAGATGACTAAACTACTGTGAACAAGATTTTAGGTTTTTTTGTTCTTCCTTAATAGCCGTCTACTTCACAGTATCAAACATACTATCAGTGATTATTCAACTTTCCATTTTCTTCAATAACAGTAGTAGAAACTCTCAATAACATGGCAATTGTTTTTTAATTGACCTAAGCATACCTATAGATCTCCAGAAAGTAATCCTAATCAGACCGCAAAAAATTATGAGTGAGATGCATGAAAGTAGGAGCATCTACACCAGCCACTATACCCTATTGGCATGTTTGGTAAGAGGGACAATGCTAGATAGTATAAGAAATGAAAAAGAAACTAAAATCTTGTCCACTGTAGTGTTCAATATGAGCATATAGAAAAATCATACAGAACTCCAAATCATAGGCTTCTACATAAGCCCCAAGCCCGAATTTCTGGTGTTATATTCAGGTGTCAAAATCCAGAATATAGTTCAAGAACTATGAATGAAAAATTCATGAGCATATAGATCAACGTAGGAAAAGATACCTCAGGCCATCTCCAGTTTTGAGGACAATCCTATTGAGTTGTTGAAAGAAGCCCTTAGTATTTCAGATGGGCACAAGTGTTTATGTAGTTTGAGTGAGCAGAAAACATGCTCTAGAATTGGCTATGGATAGGATCTTGATTTTAAAAACCTCTGAATATGAAATTGTTTGGACAGCAATCTATTTCTAAAGAGATATTCTAACAAAGCTACTTTACATTCAAAGGTTAAAAAAAAAAAAAAACCATTGGAACTAATTTCAGTGATGATAAAGAATAGGCCAAAAATAGACAGATGCACTACAATGCAGTAACACGAAATGGTGCCAAATGAGTGAAGTGCACTAAATGGACTGGAACCGGAATGGGTTAATTAGAAAGATAGTATATCTACAGTCTTGATTAAGTGACAGGAACAGTAAACAGTTTAGAAAGTATATCTCAATATAATACTTGGAAATATTCATCCAAGGTATCAATCAACCATAACATGAAAATTATGCCTCACTGAAGTTGCAAGACAAGTTTCTCAGGTAGTTGACTTCAAAACATCTAAAAAACAATATAGGAAATGGATTATCAAATTATTTACGTCACAGGAAAAGCAATAATATGAAAGAGAATGCCATATGAAATTGTGCTTGACCTTACACAAATAAGCACTCAAGATTCCCAGTTTTGAAATTCTCCTCTCCAGAGCTACAGCCAGTACCAGCTCAGTAAATTTCCTCAAAAATGTTCGCTCGTTCTTCAAAAATGTGTTTTTGACAAGCTGCTAGCAGAATTGAGAATTTTAGGCTGTTGAGAAGAATTGATTTAATTAAAGAAAGTAAAATAAGAATCCTTGACCAAAGATGCTACAAAAAATTAACGAGAAGCTCAGGCAAACTGAAATAAGCTAGTAGACTAAATAATCAAGCTTTTAGGGGAAATTATACCACGACAATAAGCAAAAAATTAAGGTTCAACAAGATGAAAATCATCAAGAGAGTGGAAAAGAGAGATTAGAAGACAAAAACAGTTAGCCTTCCAAAAAACTAATAAGAATAAATGAAGATTGAAAGAAATAGCAGTTATTTCACAAAATTCACGGATTTCCACACAACACTTCAAAACCAAGGGAAAATGTCCCCATTTGAAGAAAATGAAATGCCGCTTGATGAACAACTTACATGCACTTTTCTATTTCTGAACTGAACATATCAAAATGGGAGTTGTGCCTAGAAATTTAGTCGCACACTATCGTGGACCTGATATTTGTTGGGATGACATATAAGAGAAATGTGCATTAGAGATACTCCTAGAGCTTGTGTGAGAGAGATTTGCTTCTGGATATAATATATCATCATTCCTTCCTCCAGGTTCTTCTAATGTTGAAGCTTCAGCAAAATGACGCCCATAAAACCGCAAAAAGTTTAGTGATTCAATTCTTGGCTCACTCAATGGTATCTCACCCTCCAACATTGCTACCACACTAACCATATTAGGCCTCAATCCTGGCTCCTCATGAACACAACACAATGCCACACATACAAATTTCTCCACCTCTTCACTCGTCACTCGTTCCTCTAGTCTTGGATCTGCAAGTTCTAAATACCTCCCTTGCTCATGCATCTCTAAAGCATACAGTGGGAAGTAAACATGACCCTGTACTAACGAAGATGACGAGCTGCCTCCAGCAGTACTGCTTTCACCTAGGCTGTGACTTTGTATTCGGAATGAGCAGTTTTTTCTTCCACTTACGAGTTCAAGTAGTACCATCCCGAAACTATAAACATCAGTTTTATCTGAAATTGCGGAACTTGTAAGCCATTCAGGAGCAAGATAACCGCGAGTGCCTCTCATTGTTGTGAATAGACTGGACTGTTCGCAACTTAGAAGCTTGGAGAGCCCAAAATCGGATATTTTTGCTTGAAAGTTATTGTGAAGAAGGATGTTCTCTGGCTTGATATCACAGTGGATAATCTTCCTCTCACACCCATCGTGCAAGTATGCAAGCCCACGTGCTGCCCCAACTGCAATTCCAACTCTCTCTTGCCATTCTAAGACAGGTCCATTACCAAAGAGGGTTTTGTCAAGCGAGCCACGATTCATATACTCATAAACCAACAGCCACTGTCTCTTTTGAGCAGAATAGCCTTTTAACTTCACCAAATTCATATGGTGAATATTACCAATTATTGCAATCTCAGTGCAGAAATCCTTCTTACCTCGAATGCCCAAATCATTGATCTTCTTTACGGCAATAAGTGATTTATCAGGAAGCATACCTTTATATACAGTACCAAATCCACCGGACCCAATCTTATTCTTGAAATTCTCAGTAGCTGCCTCAAGCTCTTCATACTCAAATCTTAAGGGCAATCCAGGAATAGAAAAGTCCAGATCTCCAGAAGCAGGGGAGTCTGGTTCAACTAACTTTTCCATTCTCATATTGGGAAGCCTAGATCTTCTCCATAAAAAGATAACTACTGCAAATAAAAGGAAGAGGCCACTTAATGGTAATAGTACTACAGCAGCTGTAGGAAATCCTAGTGCACCATTTTTAAAATTGTTAGCACCACTAACATTAGTTGATGAAGCTCCAAGAAGTGTTTTAATATATCCAATCCGACCATTATTAGTCAACATAATAGATCCCAGCTCATTTTCAAGTAAATTGCAAGAACCTGAAGAGTTATCATAGAAAAATCCCAAACAAGTACAGTCATCTGTGCAGAGATCTTGACAGACAGATAAATTCACCCCATACTTGGCAGGCATGGTGAAATCATTACCAAAGAAGTCCATACCATGAGCAAGTTGCAAGTATGAAAACATGGAAGAATTCAAATGACTGCCATTATTTGTTAAATTGCAAGAAACCGGCAACGAGTAAGAACCATCAGCCAGAACACAACTGTATGTATTATTTGAAGTAGCCAGGAAGCTAGATGGACAGGAACATACTGGAGTATCTAAAGAAGCACCATTGGTACATAATCCAAGCTTCCCACAAATGTATGGAATCTGACATTCATTAACTGGCCCCACAAAATCGTGCTTTTGGTTTGCTCCTGTGAAGCTACTGATGATGAACTGACCAGAGTCATCCAGCTTGGCAGTTCGAAAATCAGATGGAGGTAGAATTACTTGGAGCACAACTACAGATCCATTTTGACCAAATAGGTACAAACCTGTTTGGTTAAGATCCATATAAGCCACTACAGAATTTGAGTTCACAAAAGCCTTGGCATCCATAGACAATTCCCAGTATGTGAGACCCTGCCACTGCAAAGTAGCATCGGACACAGTTAAAGAAAGCCTGTAATAGCCTGTCTGCAAATCGTCGTTTGATACTCCACTGGACAACATTGTCCCAACACGCAAGTGCTGTCCAATCACGATTGTGTCTGTCGGATTTTGGAAGCTTTCCCACACTGTCCCATTAAATCTATCAAGCAAGATAAGATTTCCAGCTTCTGTAAGCTGTAATGAGAATGCTGAAGATCGCAATGGGGGTGTAGACCATTTAAAACTTCCATCTTGTTCAGTAATATTGATACCATTGGCGGTTAAGCTCATTATTCCAGAATTTGAAACCGGTGCATCACGATTAGCAGACCAGATGATGGTGTTAGATTCCACGTGGATAACACATAAGTAGAATCTAATTTTCTGTGCACCAGGATTGAACATGGAAGCTTTAAAGGTTCGATTTCGAGAGAACATGAAACTGCCAGCAGCATCGACAAATCTTAGATTTGAAGCCGTAAAATTGGGGTAGGCAAACTCTGTAAACGAGATACCGGATACTAGCACCAGAGACAAGGAGACAATATAAAGAAAGAATAACAAGGACCCCATACAGAGTACTGAGGAAGGGGAAAACAGAATTATGTTGGCTGACAATTGTATTGGTTATTGGTAAGTTTTGAATAGATTTATATTGTCTTTCTCCATCTCTTTCTCTTCTCTACTTCCCCTCCCTCTCCTCTCGTTGACTAATGAAAATCATTCCTTTCTCTGTCTAGCCCAACTTGTCATGATAGGTGACCCCCCTATAGAAATTAATTATATACAACACATCGTGCAATATCAACTCGAGTAGTCAGATGCATGAATCTCAGTGACGATATGACTTGAACAACATGTGTCTAGTTAATGGAAGAAGATTGAATCAAGTCATTCTTTATTTACTAATATGAACCTATATCTCTATATAATAATCGTTCCTATTGAAAAGCACTCATTGACTTTGAATTATACAACTCATAGCTCGTCATAAAAATTGGTTTCTTTTTGAACTAGACAAAGAAATAAGACAGATCTTAGACAATACCCAAATTGACAGCAATGAACAATCACTACATGTTCCATTCAATAGATCATTCATGCATACACGCGTCATGCTGAGTCACATTAAGATAAGGATAAAAAATGAATGTACACAACAAATAACGCAAGAAACCCAACTTCTTTGAGACAAATTAACAAACACTTAACACATAAATAGGACCGACGCATATACACAAGCATGTATATTATTTGGCAATATTACCTGTTGAGTTATGGTACTGCCGCCGCCGAGAGCCGAGAATGACAAAACTGCGCGCGCCACGCCGATTGGGTCAACCCCGAAATGGTTAAAGAAACGGCGGTCCTCATAAGCTACGACAGCTTGGAGCAAATATTTCGGGCAAGGATTGTGGCTCCTGATCAGCTGGGCTTCGGCTTGGGAAGAGAACGCAATGAGGTGTTTCCAACGGTGAGAAAAGTCGGGAAGGAGGAGGCGGGAACACAGGCGGAGAGATAAGAGCGTGAAGGAAAATGTGAGGAGAATGAGGTGTTTAGTGAATGTAGGAGAGGGGAAATGGAAAAGGTGGTGGTGGTTGTTGAGTGAGAAGTGGAGGCGGAAAGGTAGCGGTTTTGCGGTGGTTGCAAGGAAATGGGAAGAGAACTGAGAGATGTATCTGCATGAGACGGTGGGGAGGAGTGGCGGCGTGGTGGCGGAGGTCATTTTATAAAAAGACATGTAAATTCAAGGATGAGTGTGAGTTTACATACGGAAAGGAATCACCCGCCAAATAATAAAAAAAAAAAAAAAATGGGGACTGAATTGCAAATGTACTCAAACATTGGGTTTTTTTTTTTTTGTAATTTAACCTCAAATTTAAAAAAACCATTTTACAATTATATTAACAAAATCGAAATATTAGCTGAAAAATGGAAGCAATCCTACAACTAATCAATCTCTCCCTTTTAATTTGGCTTTCAATCTTGATTCTAGATCGAGCGTGTATCATTTTCGATATCTAGATAAAAATTGAATACAAACGTATCATTTTCGAGATTGAGTCCTCGTAAATTGGACATTCAGAACTTACCGACAGCTCCTTTCTTCCAAATGTTTTTGTATGAACGATTTCATGACTATGGTCTTGAAATAAGCACGAGTAGGAGAATGTCGTAAAATTATTTAAGTAGAAAGAGGCGCATAAGTAGCTTGGAAGAGCGAGTCTTTAGCAGTAATGAAGAAGCATAAGCAGATGGCAAAAACAGAGAAAATTAAGGATGTTCGCAACAAGTTAGTTAAGGATTCTAAGCAAAGGAACGGTAGTTGGGATTAACTACTAACCCGATTCAGTCTATAAAATGAAACAAATTACATTCCATTTCCCATGCAGAAATACATTCTACTCTTGTGTTTGAATTAGGATTTACTTTTGATTTGATATAATCTTGGGAGTTTTTGGGGCTTGTCGAGAATTTTACGAATTTCAGGTACTTTCCGGTTGTATTCTAGTTATATGTTACGCGTATCTTGTGATTTTTTCTTTCATAACAAAATGACTGTTTTCAACGAGCGTAATTGATTTAATAATTTAGATCGTAAAATTATTATTGTTCGTTTAGAATGGGCTCATTTTTCAAAGTTCAAGGGCATGACCAAAAACGAGTTAGAAATTCTATTTAGATTTCTGATGTCATGCAATTTAAGTGTCATTAATGGTCTGTTTGATTGCGATAATGGAATTTGGGTGGAAAGAAAATGAATTTTATGGAATTGAATTACCTAGAACTTGTTTTACTGAAAATTATCAATTAATTGTATTTGATTAGTATAATTTTTCACCTGAAAAATATTTAAATTTTGGATCTTGTGGTGTTCGTTTGACTTTATTTTCCATGCAAATTGTTCATTAAAATGATATAATTTGTTTCCATTGAAAAAAAAAAAAAAAAAAAAAA